TATGTTTTTCAATACTCTTTCTAGGGTTAGTTTGGTGGATGTGAATTTCTTCAGTTTTTCTTTGTCATGGAAGTATCTTGTTTCTTCATTAAATTTGAATGAAAGTTTTCCTGGGTACATCAGACTGGGTTGAAAGTTGTTTTCTTTCAGGGCTGGAAATACCTCACTCCAAGCTCACCTTAGCTTGAGGGTTTGTACTGAAAAGTCTGCCGTGATTCTAATGGGCTTTCCTTGATAGGTGAGTTGTGTCTTTTCTCTAATAGCTTCTAGTATTCTGTCTTTATGCTGTATGTCTGTGATCTTAATTATTATATGTCTGGGTATAGACTTAGGTTGATTGTGACTGTTTTTCTTTCTTTATGCCTCACTTATGTGCATATCAATTTTTCCCCATGTTTGGGAAATTTTCTGCTATTACTTCTGTGAATATTTTAGTTAGGTCATTTGCATTGACTTCTGCATCTTCACTGATGCCTGTTAATCTTACATTGTTTCTCTTGGCATCATCATGAAGCTGCTGGATTGTCATTTCATGCTGCTTTGTTATTTTTAAAAATTCTATCCTTTCATGATCGCTAATTGTGATCCTGTCCTCAAGGTCTGAAATCCTATCCTCAGCTTCATTTAAACGGTTCTGCCAGCTCAGAATAGAATTTTTTGTTTCTTGGATGTCTCTTTGAGTTTGTTTCATGAATTCTGCTTGTTTTCTATATTGTTCATTCAAGGTTTCAATCAGTTTTCCATGCTCCTGTACTTTTTTCTCTATTTCTTCTTTAGCTGTGCTCAGCAACTCCTTTACTAAGGTTGTTATTTCTATCTTTACATGGGAGAGTACTTCTAATTTGATTTCCTTTATAGCCTCATGGAGTTGTTTTTTATTTCACTCACTATCGTTTCAGTGATTTCCAGTGTGTTACTTTTGAAGTCCTCTGTTTCAATGTCTCTTGTGCTCCTGGTGGACTAGATGTTTGAGACTGCATTTTGCTTTTTCATTTTGCCATATTCCCCTTTTGAGTTAGTATTTGGTCCTTCAATCCCACTAGTGTCAACTGTTGGTATGTGTGTCTTGGGGTCCTAATGTAAGGTTGATGTTTGTCCAATTGCTGAGTCCCTCAATGAAGAAATGGGCCAGTCACCTAACTTCCCACTGCAGGGCCTGTTGAGTGAGTCCTATATTCTTCCTAGGCTGACAAGCCTACTAGTACTGATGTGGGTCAACTTTTAGTTCCTGCTATTACTTTATCTTCAGGTTATTCCAGGTCACCAAGTCTCCCTGTCTATAGTGATTGTGTCCGCTGAGGCCCTACTGTGTCCCTATTGTGTGCCTGTGTGTCTCATAAGCCCTTTTGATTTTCTCCAAGTTGTGGGAGTGCTTATTGGCACACTTCTCACCCTGCCTGATATTTTCTGTGTGCAGGAAGGGGTTACCCACACTCTTGCCAGACTCACCAAGGTCTTACAATTAGTTGGAGGAAGCTTTACTACTGGCCCTATTTACCCACTGCACACCTCTATTTTAGGGGCATACTCACCACACGACTGGAGCCTGCTGAGATCTTCTGTTTGGGTGAGGCTGTTACTGAATCTCCCTTCAGCCAGCACAGTTAATCCACTGTATTCCATGGTTCTGGGAGAAAGGGTGGGAGCTAAAGATCAACAGCAGTATTAGGTCCAGAGGTAGGGAGTATCCCTGAGGGGCCAGCATATGTCCTGGGTCCAGGCATCTGCTGGGCACAGGCCAAAGTCCCAAGGCAGTGTGGCATTCTTCAGTGCTGACTGGAGTCACGCAGGAAGCGGGCGGTTGTGCAGGCCCAGGTCCGGTTGTGCAGGCCAAGGTCCGAGTGTAGCACGCGTTCCCCAAGGCCAGCAGGAATTGAGTAGGAAGCTCAAGGCGGCCCACGCCAAGGTCCCAGTGCAATGTGGTGTTCCTCAGTGCCTGCTGGAGTCACGCCTATTTCCAGTTTTTGAGCGATGTTTCAAAGCTTCCTTGGTGCACTGGGAATCACCTGGCCCACTTTTGGCTCCCAGAGCAGATTGTTGGCAACTGCTTGCCACTTGGAGCTCGCTGGGTGTGGACCAGTTGGGCCTGTGGGGACTCCTTGTGTCCTTTGGTGATTTCAGACACAAGGCGTGGTCATACTGACTGGGAGCAAACTTCCGAGGTATCCCAGTGTGGTCAGGGCCTGAGACTGGATTCCAGGCCCTGCTTGCTGCTTGGAGTTAATTGGGCATGCCCAGGTTAGGCCCACTGGTACCTCCTGTCCCTCTTACGGTGATTTCAGATGCAGGGCATGGTCTTACTGCCTGGGAACAAAGTTCTAAGCTTTCTCCGTGGGCTGAAATTCAACCCGCAAATAGTCTGGGCCCAGGACTGGATTCCAGGCCCTGCTTGCCACTTGAAGGTGGCTGGACATGGCCTAACCACGGGTCTTAGGGTGATTTCAAACACAGGGCATGGTCTTACCACCTGGGAGCAATGTTCTAAGTTTTCCTGGTGCACTGAAATTCAACCTGCGGGCAGGGTCAGGGGCCCGGGTATGTATGTATATATATATATATATATATATATATATATATATATATATATATGTGTGTGTGTGTGTGTGTGTGTGTGTGTATTTTAATACTCTATAAACTTTTTTCTATTTTTAATTTTTTGAACTTTTTGAACTTTTTGTTAAATGCTAAGACACCAGTGTTATCATTATCTTAGGAATGGAAGGATCAGAATCATCACTGTCCTGTCTTCCATGTTCACATCTCACCAGAAGATTTTCTGGGGCAGTAACACACATACAGATCTGTCACCTAGTGTCACAGCATTCCTTATGGAATCTCTCCAGAAGACCCTGCCCAGGACTGCTTTCCAGCTACTTTTCCTCAGTATGTCAGTATCAAGAGCATACTCTGAAATAGTGATTAAAATTTCCCTGTAGTTAATTCAGTAATGTTGTTGTTTTCTTTGTCATTATCAAGCACAGTGCACTTTACACAAATGTATGTGCTGTACAACTGGATGCACAGTGACTTTGTTTACACCAGTGTCTCCACAGACGTGCATAATACATTGTGCTGTGAAATCACAAGAGCTCTGTTGTCACTGGGTAATGGGAATTTTTCATTTCCTTTACAGTCATGGGACCACTGTCATATACATACACAGCCTGTCATTGGCAAAAATGTAATTGTGTAATACATCACTGAGTATGAAACAATTTGATCATATACAAACAAAAAATCTCCTATGAACTGGTAAAGTATCAGGGTCTAACTATTAAAATCAGTATCAGCTATGAAAAGTAAACTTGAAATAGCAGAGAAAATGCAAATGACCAGAGAGCATTTGAAAAGAAGCCCAAGAATGTTTTATCAAACACAGCTGTGGCAAAATATAAAACACTGATGACTGGTTCTGGGAAGCATGTACAGAAAGCAACATTCTTTTTCATTTCTGGTGGAAAATGAAAAGTAAACTTTAAAATATAAAACATGTAAAGTTTTCCAAACAGCTTTATATTAGGTAATCTACGTGACAGAAATGAAAGCATCCTACATGAGGCAGATATGCCACAATGTTTATTGAAATATTGTTACCAAAAAGGACCTGGAAACTACTTAAAAGTTTATCAACTAAATTATGGTACTTTTATCCTAGAGAGTACTGTATAACTTTAAAACAATTGTTACCTACATTTTCTTGATCTGAAAGACTATGTATGATTCTGTGTCTGTGTTCAGGGTTCTCTGCAGGAAGAGAATCAATAGAAAATACATAATAAAAAGGGATTTATTAGGTAGGCTCACAGGATGAGAGGTGGGAGAGTCCACAGTGGCCATGTGTGAGATCAGAGGCAGAAGACCATCTGTGCCCTGGAGACTTGGAGGACCAGTAGGTGCTCAGCCCACAGAAAGGGAAGCTACAGAATCAGAGAGATCAGGGATGCAGCACCAGTTAAGGTCAGAGCTTGGGAGCTCACTGGAGTTGCCAGGGCAAGTTTATATTGGAAGTTGAAAAACTGGGAGTCTGATGTCCAAAAGCAATGGCAAATGAGGACTGGAGCTTCTCTAAAACAAGGAGGCTTCCTTCGTCTTTCCCTTTTTATTTCCCTATTTATTCAATTTGCTGCCCTGATGTTATTTACACACACACACACACACACACACACACACACACACACACACACACACAGAACTGTGCTTTCCTAATCTGACACAGACAGTTCTTTTTCAAGTTTGGTTGACAAATCACAATTAGTGGCCACAATGTTAAAAAAAGAGAAACTTTCAGAGTGATGTTTATTGTACCATCCATTTTTAAAAGTGAAAAAATAATGTGTATGTTTGCATACATGGATTTTTTATATACGTATTTGTAAGGAAATGTGTGGAAAGGGATCTATCACTGAGCCATCAAGAATTGCTATATCGGGAGTGAAAAGCAGGGAATAGTTGAAACTCGTATCTAGTCCAGTCACATTATTATTTAACCTAGTGAAATGGACATGGTCTTTTAATTTTAAAAATCTAATAAAGGTTGTTCAGGGATAAATATTAATACACAGTATAGTATGTGAGTACTTTGGCTTTGAGCAACTGTCAATACCATGTATCCTGAGAAAGAAAAGCTGGCATTACTGTGCTTGGTCAAAGACGTCTTGTAGAAAAAGTATCATCCCACTGGACCAATATGGCAGTGTTTCCAAATCAACTTAGAGTTTATAGGTTGTGAATTTGAGTTTTTTATTTTCAATTCACTTAAAACTTGATTATTCTAAGAATTCATTACTGAAGAAACTAGATTATAAAATGTGTAGACAAAAAACAGTGCTTCATTGTTAAAATGTTACCATCTTCCAGTTAGTTTTTATAGACTACCTAGTTGAAAGGTGAAGACCTTGCTATGCCTAACCTATGATTAAATAGAGCATCATCTTATTTAAAATTTGAGCTTTCTTATATTTGATACAAAGATTGTTTATCATTTTTCTCTTTTATTTCAGAACGCTTTACCCTGTACAGCTCTAAAAACCTTAGACAAGCATGGAATAAGTAAGTCTTTACATAGATTTTGCTCATTTTTTTCTCCTTTTTTTTATATTTACAACTTAACCTGATAAGTTTGTCATGGCATTTTTCCATTTATTTGTATGTTATCTATTCATTCATTCAGCCGTCGGACTGTTACTAAGCCCTGTGTGCCAGCCGTAGTGTTCAGCCTGGGTCAACATTGATGTGTTTCAAGAGCTATGAGACATTGCATCAGAACTGTAAATCCAGAAATATTTCATGGTCCGTCTTTTTATAATTCCAAGAAACTTTATTTGCTGAACATTTATAAGATGCAACATAGTGACTTTCTGATCTAAATAAGTTTGTGGCAAATTTTTGGGCTGGATGAAATTGATGTCTCAAATCTTTCAATTTACTTTTTCTTCTAATATTTATTAGGAAGCTGAATATATGTGTCACTTGCAGTATATTTGCTTCATTTTTGTGTTCCGTTCTCCTGCCTGGCCTTGCTGAAGCAGTGTTACTTAGTGGTTTCAGAATTTCAGGAAATCGGATCTGGGTTCTGAAAGTTACATCTTTTTGCAGAAGCCAAACTGTTGGAGGTAGAAAGCAGAGGAACTGAGTCACTCCCTTTTGGTTGTAGGCATCACATTGCAAACATGTGGGAGAACTGGAACTTCTTAGATTAAATAAACTATCCTTTGTCATAACAACATTTTATCTGCAGGGAATTTATATGATCTCACATTTTACTGTTATGACATGTTTAATTTTGTACATCACCAGTTGTGAAAATAAAAAATAAGGAAAACCGTTTCACATCTACAGCGCTTGTAATCAGTGCTGTCAGTAGAGACAGTGGACAGCTGATGGTGAGAAACTGGTGGGATGAATACGGGCAGTTCTGTAGTAGTTTATTGAAATGAATTATTGAAAGGCTATAACCACTTATTTGTACTGAATCTGTGCTTAGTACTTAATGCCCTAGTATCAGTTTTGCCTAACACAGGCCTCTGCATTTGCCTTTTGAACAGCCAGTTCTCGACTTTTGGCGACTTCCCTGATATCCACCCTCTGCGGGGCGTATTCTACGTGGGCTCTTCACCTTTTCTAACCACTGACCTAACATTTTAATTAAATGCTTTTGTGTACCACATGACAGTATACAGTTCCTAACTTAATTACATAATTAGACATATTTTTCTCATAATCGCTCAAAAGTTTTGTCCAAATTAGTAACTACTTTGTGAAACAATTCTTGATAAAGCCCTATATTTAAATTATCATGAAAATCTGACAAATTGTGTATAGCATAACTTCTACAGCCATGTATGGTTGTGAAGAATAGGCATTAAAAAATATAAAATTTAGAGTTAGAACTAATTTAAATTCATTTCAAAAACTGGGTCCCACTTAATTTACTGTTTAAATATTTTAGAGAAAATATTAAAGGCTAAGCTCCAGGTAAGATTTTTAAACTACAAATATACCTTGTGTGGCTTCACACTTTTTTAAATGTTCCCATAAGTCTCACTTTTTGTAGCCTCAGGGGTTCATCTCAGAAACACTACATATTAAAATAATCACTAAGATATTACTAACATATTCCTTTCTGTTATGCCAGTATTGAGTGCTAAATCTATATCTGAACTACAACCTTTACCCTATTCAAACTCAGTGAATTTTCAAGAGAGCTAAAAATCTAGAGACTTTAATTAGATTATTGATTCTTTCTCTAAATGGACCTTGCAACCATCATTGACATTTTGACGTTTCTTTCTTCAGGAGTATGATCTAAAGTAGAAAGAACCACATTAAAATACTGTTACACCGAGTCTAGTTTTTTTCCATTCTGCTGATTAATTTGCTTGTATAAAGCATAACTGTTAAACTTAAGCACCTGATAAATTCTCTTGTACAGTGGTAATAGGTTCAAAATAAAGTGAACTAATTTGCAAGAACTAATTCGAATTCAATTTGGATGGGTTAATATAAGATAGGTGGGTTAATGTAAAAGAAGTATGTTGCTGTTGAAAATTAAGCATCACTGCCTTTAAAGATCTGTATTAACTCAGCTATTAAAACTAGTAGGGGTATTAACTCATTTAGGAGAATAGGAATTTCTCAAGAAATGAATCCATAAGTCTCTTGGAAGAGCATTGGTAAAGTGACCCAGGGGGCCATGTCTACCCCAGGGAATGCCGTGTAGTTCTCTGCTGACCTCATTTGTACAGTAACCATGAGTGTAATTTTATCCCTTGATAAGTTTTAAAAAAAAACATTCTAAGACAACAAAAGAGTGATGGAGGGAATATCAAAAGATCCAGTAGCTGGAAAGTATAACATAAAGAAGAAATCTCAATTATAGGATTGAGACTAATAATTTTATATCCATGAAGAAAGAAAGTCCGTCTTTTCCCTCACACTGGAAATGCCTGGTACGTATGAAATCTTCCTGCATAAAGAAATTTAGGGCTAAAGAGAGACAAATCTTAATTTTATAAAAACATGTACTGTTTTCTGAGTGCCTTCAAAACATTCCATTTTATTTCATTGGAGTTCTAAAGACTCCCTATTTCTCTTCCAAATCTCTCTATTTATAGTTGCCTGACAGTGGCATGTATGTGCAATCAACCAAGAATTTCAGCCACTTAAAAGATCTTTTATTATTTTGGCTAGAAAAGAAGCTTTAGTATATACTCTCCAGCAAAGTCAAGGGTAAGATTCCAGGAACACATTTGCTTGTTTTGGAACTTTTTAACAGCTGAACAATTTGGGAGGTTTGAAAGTGTCAGAATGAGAGCTAAGGATGAACCACTAAGTCAGAGGAGACAGATCTGGAAAACCCTGCATGAAGCAAAGCCCGTCCATGGGCTGGGGTGGGTGTGGGCCCACCTGGTGCTGTCTCTGCAGAGCCCTGCCTACAGTCATCCTTTGGCTGTTTGGTGCAACTGATTTCTCCTAAAAACTTACATAAGTTGATGTTTTTCAATGTGTAGTAAATGCAGAAACAGTAATGAAGGCATCACTATAGGAACACAAAATCAGAAAAGAAAACACTTCCCTGCTACAGTTGAGTGCACCAGCAGTCACAGGCCCTGATTTGGAAGATTTAGAAATGCTTCCTGATTGTGCTCTTCAGCCTCCCCTAAGGGTTTTATCAGACTCCGTGTTTATCCTTCAAAACATATGTTAAAGATGACTTGCTAGAAAGTTGTGCTACTTACACATAAAACATGATATGTTTAAACTAATAGTTTGAGAAATAACCTAATTTTCATTTTGTTAGAGGTGCACTATTGTGGTTTTTTTTTGTCATATCTGATGTATCCTATTAAGTTTAAGTCAGTGCCTTCTCAAGACTCTAAAATACTGTTTTCCACTCTACCCTGTAGTTCTAAATTGATCTAAACTTGTCTGACAGTGCTCGCTTCAGTAGCATATGTACTAAACTTGTCTAACAAAATAGTATACTGGGAAGTTAACAGCTGTAATTTCTTTGCCAGTTTAGAAATCTAAGCAAGGTAAGAGCATCCCTGGTACACTAGGAGGAGCAGTTGAGTTGAGAGAGATCTTTAAATCATCTTTCTCCACTTTCACATTTTTTCCCACTGTTAATTATTTAGCTGTAATTCTGTTTACTTCAAAGTGGCAGTTTTAATTTATTTACTACCTGGAGACTTTTTCTCATCTGTCCATTCATTGTTGGGCAGATGGGTTTACTGGGGTGACTAAGGGAAACATTGTGGAATCCCAGCTTCTTAACATCGAAGATGGCCTGGGTCTGTCGGCTGGCTGCCCAGCACTGTGAATCAGGTTCTTCAGTAGAGGCCCTGTGGATGGAGTTCTTCACCACATTCTGCTTGGTCCAAAATGTCCAGTTTTCAACACATGAATAATCTGACACAAGCAGATTCCTTGTCCTGAGCTTAGACACCCATATATGGCATTGTTTGAAGGTCCCAGATGGCCACCTGCTTGCTTGGAAGTTGCAATGAGAGCAGTTTATAGAGATTTGTTTTCCTAAGATTGAATCACTAGTCCAGTTATTGAAACATTATGTAAGGGTGGTGTTATTTAGATCCACTGAACTCCTTGTCACCTTACAGAGAGTAGAAATTCTAAGAAATTGCAGGTTGGATTCCTAAAAGAAAAAAAAAAAGAAGGATGACCTGAAGTAAGATCCCCTGGGTGATGCCCTAGAGAACCTCAAAGAAGATAGAATTGAAGAGTGTCCAAAAACACAGGCTGGGGATAGATTCCAGGAAAAGAAGCTATCTTACAAAAAAACTGATGAATTTGCCAAAGGCCTAGGCCTGGTCATTAGTAGTATCAACAGCATAAATGTAAACCATCTGCCACATACCTAGTCAAAGGCACAGCCTACATGCTGGCTAATGATTATTGTCATGTGGGGGGAGGGGTGGTAATTAACATTTGGAGTAACTTTTGCAATATAGAATGAGCTTTTGTATGTATTGTCACATGCTCACATGCCCTCACAGGTTTTTAGGATCTTTGGGACCATTCTATCTCTATTTTACAGCTTAAAATAAACCTGTTCAGTGAAGTCAAATGGTCAGAGTCACTGAAAATTACAACTTGGAATGTATGCCCCACACTGAATCTTGTGAAAGGAATACAGCGTTATCGGTTTTTAAGAATCTGGTATTCATGTATGCTTCTATCTAGTTTCATTTTATTCTCACAGTTTAGGATGGTGTACCAAAAGAATTCACTGTCACTAATACCCCATGGTGGTGGCCATGGACACCCCCTTGCTGTTAGTTACCTGTCTGGCGTGAGTTTCTGTTCCCCTTCCAATAGGTAGAAAATGTCCATCTTCTCTTTCCCTAATTGGCAGTGTGTGCCAGGCTTGGGAGTTGGCAACAACCATTGTTTTTCATGCTTGTGTCCTGGACTCCTTGTCTCAAAGTACACATTCCTGGGTCAGCTAATTCCATCCTTCTGCTACACAGGGCACTACAGAGTAAAGCCCAGCCACACTCGGAAGCAACATAGAGGTTCCAGCAGGGGTG